AAACGGATTCTGCACAAAGACGTAAACACAAAGCGCGGACCCAACGCATCAGGATCAGCGAGCTGTCGGCTTTCTCACCCGACGCCACAGACACGGGGCTGAAAAGCCGACATATCACAGATTCTGATGCTGCAGGTTTTGTCACTCTCCAACCAAAATGGATTGAACCAGGAGCAAAAGAAGATCCAAACTATGCTTCACATTTCGCTTCACTTAAACTTTGTCATGAATTCACTATTACTTTTGCCGTTTTGCTTCCACCACGATAAAATCCCAGTGGTTTAAGCTGGTTTAGATATTTCACTCTTGCAGTTTCACAGCATCCTGATTGTCGTTCTTCAGTTGAGGTTTCACTGCTTTTCAAACCATCAAACACTTGAGATTCACACGTGTTTGTTTGTTTGTGTGTTGCAGGAGTTTCACTCTGAGTCCTGACCTCCTCTTTGTGCTTCTGTGGCTTAATAGGCCATAAATTGGTCACCGTGGCGACCAGCAGGATTATTGAAAGTTCCTCGTCTGACTTTCTGAGGTCAGCCGTCACTGTTAGCGTTTATCTCATATTACGTCACATCTAAAATCCTGTGTAAGTATGAATGAATGGTGATTAAATTAAACAAATAAAATGTATTTTGCTTTTTTCCAGTGCTCACTGTGGCTCCGCTCTGCAGCTGGTCTCCTTTTCCACAGTGCAGTGACACAGTGTTGAAGAGGTGAGTGTGTTACTGTCACAACGGGACTGAACAGACTCACGCGCAGGCTCTAAGTTTAGGAAACACAAGAGTTTTTATTACAGCACAGCAGGTGATCTGTTTACAAAGGTGTGGTCCAGGGGGTCCACACACAAATGGGAAAGACGCTGAAAGTCCACACGCGCTCCGTCCACTCCTCACGCTCCTCTTCACACTCCACAGAAAACACGATGGCGCACTCCACTCCTCGCACACTCGATCACTCAGGAAACGCAGGGGTTGGTCCAGGGAATGAGGGTCGGCAACGGTCCAGCGACGAGAAACGCAGAGCTGCCGTCTTATAAAGGAGCTGGAACACTC